TTCGTGTAACCGTTACAAACAAACAGGCAAGTAAACAACCAGGTTTTCCAAATGTAACGTCTCTTACAACAGAAATTGGCTGAAGAATGAAGCGAATTGTAATTAAATATTGTCGTTGAGTACCCATGTACATATACAAACATACCCGTGGGGACTCGTAGACCATTGTCTCTAGTGACTGCATCCCGAAGAATTCTACTATCGGCTGCCGATCCTTCCCACCCGGTTAGTAAGTAAATAAAATTCATATTGTCATCGCAAACGGCTAACACATTAACAGACACATTGCCCTTGCGATTCCTATATCTTGGTTTATCAAGACAAGGTACACGACAATCTATATACGTTCCATCTAGTGCACCAAGACAACCCTAAATAGTTTATTCATGACGAGGATAGTGATTTAGAACAATTTTTACTAGTAGTTGTAATATGAAAGTAATTACAGTGAACATACATTTAGTACCTTAAAGTATGAAAACCGCTCGTTTTCTGAATTTTCGCCAACCGGCTTAGGGGCTATTAAAAGCATTTCGTGTAACTTCAACAAGGCTACAAGTACCTGATTAAAATGCTTGCTAACAGTGTACCCTGATCTATTGAAATGGCTTTTAACAACAACATTTTTGGTGTGATGAGCCAAAATTTGAAGAAACATTGCCACTTGCTCGGGTACGGTGACATTTCTATTCGGTTTAAGACCACCAACATTTTCTAAAACATAACATAAACGATAGAATGTTTGAATATTCATTCTAAGATTATCACGACAGGCAACATCGTTGAACCAACTATAGAACGCAAATATTGGAGTTGGGAAGGTGTTCTTCCTATCATACTATAAGTTCGATTATAGCTATCCGTAGACCTCAAACAACGACGCTTAAATGTGGGAATAATATGCATCGACACTAAAAAGAAAATCCTCAAGCTAAAAATTAGTTGGTGCAAAACAACTATTATTTCTTCTTCTCGGTTTGACAAAGCCATCCTAAGCCAAGAAGTTCCTACAAAATATATGCACAAATCTGTTTAACCAGAAAAGCCCAATCGTGATTCCTGCCACACGTTTACAGAATTGGGACGTGAGCAGTACAGAGAACATCGAACTCTCAAATAGAATGTCAAAATAATGGATGAATATGAACGCAAACAAATTGAAACAAATTTCGCTATCATACGATACACATTTGTAAATCTAATGATACACAGAGCACTAGCAGACAATTAATATACAGATGACCAAAATGATACATATATAGCAATTGATTTAGTACCTGTAGCAATCGAGATCCGCTTACGAGAACTGAGCGATGTACAATCCAACGAATTAAGCCAAACCCCCTATGGACTCTCTTGAAGATCAAAACCCTAAATCTGTATAATGGCAACGGAAAATTCCCAATGAAAACAATCTGCAATTTCATATACACTGCAATTTTAAAAAACGCAACGACCCTGCAATTTCATATTACCTTTCCGCTAATGTTGGGTGTGGCTGAACGGGAAGCTTCAATTACAGTCTGCTCTTCAGGTATGACTGGGTAAAATTAGGGCAGCAAATTCACGGGGAATTTGACGAATGTGCGTTTATATATGTGTGTATATTTGTAATTTTTTCATTTCTTGAGGGCAACTTAGACATTACACACGCCACCCAGATGTATGGACTATCACGTGTTAATTAGTCAAGCCAAATTTGGCTTGACAAATAATAAATCATATGCGTGATAAATCAAGTGGGACCACATATCCCGAGACATTGTGACAGCCGAACCAAACACCGTATACGGAGGGACTTTTCGTCCCATCAGGCGTAATAACGCGTACCAAATGAGCCCTTAGGGTTTATGACAATGTTTCAGGGGTGTTTGAAATTACGGATACCATAGGGACCTTAAAGTTATTTTAGCATACATCAGGGGTGTAAGTGCAATTTACCTAAGATGATTTTTTTTCTTCTTCTTAATATTTGTTTTTATGATACCCATTATATCCCTACGACTATATTAAAATATGATTTAGCAATGATTAATTAGACATAATGAACAACTTCGTCATTGAAAATTGAATAAATCAGGTGATGGATGATAATATGAACAAATGATGCAATAAAAATTACACGTCTTGCATTCAATCAAAACATTCAAGATCGAGGTTCGATCTCTTTCATCAAAATCTACGATCCAGGCGCGAACTTGGTCGCGAAAACCCACGCATTATTCGCAACGGGGTTATCAAGGTGGTCCAACAAATTCTCCAACGGCCCCTTTCCTGTCACAATCGCCTGCACAAAGAATCCAAACATGGAGAACATAGCCAATCTCCCGTTCTTGATCTCCTTCACTTTGAGCTCCGCAAAAGTGACGGGGTCATCAGCCAAACCGAGGGGGTCAAAATACTGACCCCCTGGGTAGAGGTCATTGCCATCTCCGACTCCATCTAGACCGTTGATTCTGAACCCTTCAACGGCTCCCATTAGCAAGACTTGGAATCCAAGAACGGCTAGGATGCTCTGCGCGTGGACGAGGTTGGGGTTTCCTAAATAGTCCAAACCGCCCTCAGAAAAGATTTGTGACCCGGCTTTGAACCAAACGGGCTCCTTCAAAGTGACGCCCACCCATTTTTGGAGGATTTCGGGTGTGATGCAACCGAATGCTCCTAGCATAGCCCACCTCCCGTGGATGACCTATAGCAATTAATTCGGATTTTTAAACGAAATTTAAAAATTTCTTATTTATTATTTCCTTCACTTTGTATGTTTTAATCACTTTGTGTAATTATTAGTTACATACTAACAAGTACTAACAAATACAAATACAGATAAACCTCTATAAATTAATACATTGCGCATCAACCAAATTCTATTAATTTAGCGAAATATTAATTTACCGAAATATTTTTTTAGCATGTTGCCTTCGAGTCGGGACCGGGAAAACATATTATTTAAATTAATTTAACGAGATTCTACTGGATGCTCTATTTATTGAGGATATATATAAATACCTCAAGAGCCCTGTTCTTAGCAAAGGCCTCGGGATCAGCCGACAAACCGGCGGTGTCCCAGCCGTAGTCGCCGGGGAATTCTCCGGTCAGGTACGACGGAGTCTGAGCTGAAAACGGCCCCAAGTACTTGACCCGGTCAGGTCCGTACCACAAATCATTACCCTATAAATTAAAATTAAAAAAAAAATCTCAAAAGTTAATCACATCGAAATCAATTTTGGGAATTAGGGTTTACGAATAATTGAGATCAAACAGATGAGTTGAAATAAATTACCATGGTGTATTTTCCATTTCCCATGGAGACAACATCTCTGAGAGGATTGGCGGTCTTGGTTTGCCCCAGGAACGGCGTCGCCCTGACGACGGCGGAGGAGCTCGCGGCGGCGGCGGCCATTGATTCCGGTTACTCTTTTGCTCGGAGAGATTTGCAGGTGAGTTTTTTTTTTTTATCTCCTGCAGTAATTGCTCTTTGGGCTGTGGGTTTTGAAAATCAGTGAAGACTGGGTTTTTATTTACAGAGAAATAAGAGAGAGAGAGAGAGAGAGAGAGATGAAATGGGTGGCGAAAATTGCATGCGAGGGAATTTGTGGCTGGTGATTATAGCAAGTGTTTCGTCAGCCAATCAGAAGGCGTTTAAGGATTTGAAATATATCTAACTGATATCCTTTTATCCACTATTTATCTTCTGAGCTAGGTGGAAAATCATAAAATTTTATTATTTATTTATTATTTAATTTCAAGAAATATAAATTTCTTGTGACATAAATATGTGGTGGTGATTAATGTGGAATGGAGTTCCACCATAAAAAATGCACACTTGGACTAGAGTGCCCTTCCACTTCTAAAATGTAAAAAAAAAATTATGAGTGGTTATTTTGTAAAGATTTTTTTTACTAGAGTTTATTTAGAGAGCTTAGATTAAGAGCCCGTTTGGCTAAGCTTATTTAAAACATCTTATAAGCTCCTACATCTGATAAGATGTTTTAGGAGCTGATAAGCTGTTAGATCTTATTTTAAAAATTATTTTTTAAGGTGTTTGGATATGTATCTTATAAGTTACTTTTAGTTTTTATAAGTTGTTCATGTGTTTGAAATAAAAGGTCTGTTTATTGCTATAATGACAAAAAAGTACATGAAGCCATTATAACTGTTAATCTTATATAACTCAAATAGTTTTGTTCCTAAAATAATATTATAATATTTACAAATTAATTTTTCAAATAAAAATAATAATATAGAATTATGTAATAAAAAAACTAAATGATTTTTTTATTTTATGTATGTTGATATGATATTTAACTTATTTTGAAAATATAATGAAGTGTAATAAAATAATTTAATGAAACATGTTTGTGAAAGTTTTAATTTTTGTCGTATTAATATATTAATATAAAATAAAGGTTGTAAAAGAAATATAATTCTTTTTTATAGATAAAGGAAATATAATTTAGTATCGAGGTAATAAGAATATTCAGGTATTTTTATATACATATAAAATATAAATAGAGAATATCTTTTTTACAATTATTACGATAATTATGATAATTATATTTTAACTTATTAATCTTGATTACAAGAATACGTTATTTTGATAAAATATTATAAATGTTATTATTATTCATGTAATATTATAAAGTATTTGAGGGTAATTTTGTATTTTGAGTGTTTTAGTAAATAAGCAAATAAGATCTTAAAGAAAAAAGGTGGGGTGGGGGTACTTTTTAAAAAACATCTTATAAGCTCCCTAACAGCTTATATTTGGAAAAAATAAGATCTTTTGTAATTTTTTTACCAAACACTTTTTAACAGCTTATAAGCTTTTAAACATCTTATAAAATGTTTTTAAGAGCTTATAAGCTTAGCCAAACAGGCTCTAAGTATTACAGAAACAACTTAGTTACGAAATTTAGTTATGTTCATTCATCAGTTATAGGATACTTATTTAAACAAAGTGAACCAGTAAAATACACAGATCTGATTTTTCAATTGAGTTGTGCATGAATGTGATTATATATGCATGCGTGTGTGTGCTCGTGCGTCACTCTGAGTGGTGTGTGTGTGTGTGTGTGTGTGTGTGTATTGCGTGCACGTGTGGGTCACTATGTGGGTGTGTGCGCGTGCGTGTGACTATGTATAGAGGGTTTCACTTATGGCAATGGTGGGAAGCAGGAGTGAAGCTGATCTGAATGGTTTTCAGATAAATGGAATGGCGGAGAAGAAGATGGTTAAAGAACTTTTAGCATAATGTCAAAATCTTAATATCATGATTTGAAAAAGTATTAGTGTCTGGAGGTGTTTAACAAATTGCCCCTTATAATTTGAAATTTACGGCAACCATCTCGCTTCTAGAACATATGAAAAATTGGTTTCTAAAAAAATATCATTATCTACTTAAATTTTATAAAACTTTTTTTTTTTAAGAGAAATTTTTTATAAAACTTAAAAGATATAAACTTCTCAATTTATCATTCCATTTTATACATCAAATTATTCATACTTTCACCTAAAACAAAGTACATTTATTATTAATATAAATATATATAACATATTAATATTTAATAATTATAAATATAAATATATAGCCCGAACAAAAAGGGCTTTAGTTGGGCCAAAATCCACTTTTAAGCCCAAAGTTTGCTTTAGAGCTACAATCAAGTGCATCTCGTTGCATGGTTTGATCAACCATATCAATCAATATCACCTTTGAGTCTAGCTTAAGTTTAATTGAAGTGAATTTGGGGATTGATACTTTTTTTAAACATCAAATTAACTTAACATCTTATGATCTTTAGATATTACAACTTCATAAATATGCACTCTTGTGTGATAAATTTACTCATAACATTGACTTCTTTCTATATATTGTCCTATTTTATCCAAGATGAATATTTAATAAGCAATAATTTGCTAACTACCCCTCCACATTAATACATTTTTAAATCAAGACAGTCATATTTAGAGAGTTTAAACAAAAAATAGTTATATTAACCTGAAAATATATTATCATCATCCAATTCATTCATTTCCAAAGCGACGTTCACTAAAAAAATGACATTTCTTACGCTCTTCCACCTTACCTTTCCAGTCCCCCGCTGTCAACCGTCGAAATTCCGCGACAACATTATTGGGGAAATGTTATTTAAATCTAAGATGTATATTTTCAATCTAAAGTATACAACTAAATTGTCTGAACTATCTACTTTCAGTCTAAATTATCCCGACTAACTTTTAACAAATTCAAAATATCCAAACATACTATTTGCTATACAAAATATTTTTTTAGTGCCAATTTTCCCATTTGATAAAGGCAAGCATAAATAAATGTATGGTTAAGAATTAAGATTCCCTATTAAGGCATCTACCTAAATATTTATATCATTATTGACAATTCCAACTCACCTTTTTGGACAAGCAACGTGGCACCCACTTCTCTTATTGGTGCCAACCACTCACTCCTACTCTTTCCACATGCCCCACTTTAGTTATACCTTATTTATATATTTTTTCTCATTATAAATTCTACAATTTTTTTTAACGAAGAATCGCAGCTAATTATATATATGCACTGGATAAATCTATACTCTCGTATAATAACTTAAAATTATATTTCCACTTGATCTAGATGATTTATATACTCATCAATTCTAACTATTACAACAATTTATTGTTTTTTTCAAGTGTGAATAATCGATACAAAAGAAATTACTATTGAATTCGAGACTCAAAATGTGACAACATGAGTTTCTTGTCAAGTTTAACTTACTTTATTCCTATACCAAAAATAATATATAAAGAAGAACAAAAAGCGTTTCAATTATTATATTATTCCAGAGTTCGATATATATTTCGTGTGAACACTTTTTCAGTAGAGCTTGTTCATAGCATTTGGTTGGTGCGATTTGCATTTTCCATATCGTTTGAAGGCTATTGCACCAGAGCGAGTTCACTCGATCTACTAATGTAAATGTGGTTACTACTTTCTTTGTAATGTATAAATAAATAAATATATATATAATTATAATTCCCTTATTCTAAAAAGAATAGATTATATTAATTAAGAGGTCTAATATCATTGTAATTAGATGTTCTAATCTTATAAGAGCTTATTGCAAATACCACCCCTGTGTAATCTCTAATTGCCAAATACCCCCCTGTGATAAAAAAACTCACTAACTCCCCCCTCTGTTAACATTTTCGAAGCATACTGCACCCTTTTTGATTTTAGGCTTTGACCAACGGGGAATAGACAAAAATGCCCTAAGGGTTTTTTTAGCAATTAGTAAACTACACCAAATTTTAGAATCACTTTAAATTTGTAAATATTATGTATTTATTAATTATTAAGAATAAAAAAAAATATAAACAAGAATTAAATATATATTGTAATATTAAATTCTTATACGCATTTTTTATAGTGTTTTTATATGTTTTGTAATTGTTTATGTTACATTTTATTATAAATAATAATAATCATTTAAAAAAAATACCCTAGGGGATTTGCAACAGTTAGTAAGGTATCTTTGATTTACAAATATTGTATGTATTTCTATTTTTATTTTTTTAAAACTTTGTAATTAATTTATTTACACCAAATTCTATAGCATAATTAATTTTAATTATATAAGCATTATTTTTATTAAATTTTTTGATATTAAAAGTTTTTTTTTTATGTTTTTTTATTTTAATTTTTTTTATTTAAAGACAAAAAGGACAAAAAAAAAAAGAAAAAAAAGAAAAGAAAAAGTTTTCTTCTTCCCCGCTCCACCCCTCCCAAACCCACCCAAACACTTCATCAACCATTTTTCGAGCCCGCTGCTGCTACCTCGCCGCCGCGGCGCCGCCCGACCACTAGCTCACCCCTCCAGCACCACCGCCTTCCTTCCAGCACCGCAACCCACGCACAACCGTGAAAATCTTTTCCAAATTTGCGAAGTCCTCTCTCCCAGCTTCACCCAGCTTCACTCTTCCGGTGACAGCCCCAATCTCCAGAATAAAGGCTGCGACGGCGGCGGCAATAATTCCAAAGAAGTAGAAGAATTTTTTTTAACCATCTTCACCCATAAACAACTCTCTCTGTCACTAAAAAATGCTGGTTTGAGCGCCGTCGAGGGAGAAAAAATTGAAGGAGGAGTGGGTGGCGGTGGTGCGAGACGGCGGCGGTGGCCGAATGACTGGAACGGGGAAGACGAAGTGGAAACTCTTCTTTTATCTTTTTCTTTTTTTTATAATTATTTTGCAACTTTAGAAATTAAAATTTGGTCCTCAAGATTAGGTTTAATCGGTCAGATTTTTTTATTTAATTTATAAAGGGGTATTTATGACATTTCACCGTAAAAATACCATAAAAAATCGCACAAGCCGCGAGTGAATGACACGATTTGCCTCCAGAGGTGTCGATGCTCTGACTTTGTTAACACAGGGAGGGGTTGGTGAGTTTTTTTTTGACAGGGGGGTATTTGACAATTAGAGATAATACAGGGGTGGTATTTGCAATTACCTCAATCTTATAATTGTCTCCCAACAAAATACACAATCAAATTTACAGTCAATATTTTGTGTAAATAACACTTAACCCCCTTTAGTTTGAGGTCTGTGCTCATGACTCCCTTATCCTCTTAATATAAACACATAACCCCCTATAATAATTGACTTCATAAAAAGGAAGATAATGTTTTTAAAAGTACAAGAGAATTATGTGCTTATATTAAAATACAGAGGGGTCAAAGTGTACAAAGCTCAAAATACAAGGGTTAAAGTGCTATTTACCAATATACGGCAAATATAAATAACAAATGATTCGCAGCGTTTCCATCTCCAGTTTTCTCTCTCTACCTCTCATTTTTTTTCAATCTCTTTCTCTCTCTTCTGATCAAATTCATATGTTTCTCTCCATTCTCTAATTTCTCTCATTTTTCTCAACTAATTAAAAAAAAAAAAAAAAAAAAAAAAAAAACAGGAGAGAAGAACGAACAAGCACTTCTTCAGTTCCGTCGGAAATGGCGCCCCGTCTCTTCAGCTGTTTCGGCAGAGGAGGCGGATCCACCACCTCCTCCTCCGATCCGAAGCACGACGACAAGGCCGCGACGGCGGATCTATCGGCGGAGGAGCAGCGGAGAGGCGGTCCAGTGGTGGTGGAGCTATTCTCGTCGCAGGGATGCGGCACCTCGCCGGAGGCGGAGCTGCTGTTCTCGCGGCTGGGGAGGGGGGACTTCAATCTCGACGCGCCGGTGGTGCTGCTGGCGTTCCACGTGGACTATTGGGATTATACGGGTTGGAAGGACCCGTTCGGGTCGAGTCAATGGACCGTCCGCCAAAAGGCCTACGTGGAGGCACTCAATCTGGATACCATGTTCACCCCCCAAATCGTCGTCCAGGGTAGGGCCCACTGCGTGGGGAATGACGATGAGGCTCTCATCTCCTGTATCGCGTCCGCACCCAGATTCCCTGCACCCTCGTTCCAGGTCAGCTTTTTTCCCTAATTTGATAATTAACAGGGAGTAATTATTTGGTTTAGTTATTATAATCTGCAGTTCTGCAGCAATTGCACGGACGTCATGAATATTAATCACATTGAATGTTTTATTTATTTAATTATGTAGATTGTCAGATGAATATATATGACCATGTATGTATAGATATATTAAGGGCAAATTAAAAAAAAAAAAAAAAAAAACCCTCTTATTTGTGTAATTATAGTCACCCCTCAGCTATGCATGGTCTTACGACGAAATCCCTCGAATTGGTAACTTTAGGGGCGTTTATTCGGTAAAATTGTACTGAAATTTAGCTACGCCAAAATTTCATTCCGTTTAGTCGTTTGGTTTGGTAAATAATTGAATTACCAGATTTTTATTATAAATATTTAAAATTTTTAGTTAAATACTAATATTACATATATAAATAATAAAAAACAGAATACCACACCGAATTACTGGTTCGGTAATCGGCATATACTGAATTTTCATTCGGTTCGATTCGGTTGGTTTACCGACCGGATGAACACCCCTAAGTAAATTTGACATCGTAAGGGCGGATATGAAAAAGAATACATGGTTGAAGGGTGGTTGTATTTACTGAAATATGAGGGTAGTTTTTGTTATTTGACATTACTTCAGGGCTATGTTGCACGGACACGAATACGTGGACACGGCGATACGCAGATACGGACACGGTGACACGGCATTTCCAAAAAACTAGGATACGGACACGCGGGGATACGCGTAAATATAAAAAATATAGGGGTATATTTATAAATAATAACAATATAGGGGTACATTTATAAGTTGTAAAAAATATGTATAAGTTGTCATCGTATAAGAGAACCGCTCGCCCTTGTTGCTCGTGTTCTTGGTCGCCGTCGCATGCTAGACTTTTGGAGTTTTGGGTGGAGTCACAAAGAAAACAGAGGAAATGTATATTATAGAGAAAAGAAAATGCCCATTTTTTTATTAGAGCTCTCTCTTAAAACGTAAGAGAAGTGGCCCAGTTTTTTTAAAATTGTGGACACTGCCCGACACGGGTATCCTACTTTTAGCGAAATTACAACACGACCCGACACGGGTGTCCGAGAAGTGTCCGGGTGTGTCCGATAGGGGTGTAAACGAGCCGAGCCGTCTCGTGAGCTCGAAGAGCCGGCTCGTAAAAAGCTCGAACTCGGACTCGAGATTTTCGAGCTCAAGCTCGAGCTCGCGAGCTCAAGCTCGAGCTCGCGAGCTCGAGCTTTCTGACGAGCCGAGCTCGAGCCGGTTTTCATTTGTTCATGAGCTCGCGAGCCGGCTCGCGAGCCGGATTTATTATTATTTTTTATTTTATTTTTTATTTTGTATATGTTATTTTATTTAAATAATGTATAATAATGTAAAATATTATAGAAATAAATACAAATATTAAAAATATATATAATTACAATTTAGTTTTTATTTTTTATTTTTTTAAATAATTTTTAATAATAATTAAAAAAATATTTAAAAAAAAAAAAAAAAAAAAAAAAAAGACAATGGGCTCGAGCTCGAGCTCGACAAAATTGACACGAGCTCGAGCTCGAGCCAAAAAAAGAGGAGCTCGACGAGCTCGAGCTCGAGCTCGTCAAAATAAACTCGAGCTCAAGCTCGAGCCAGCCAAAAGAGGCGAGCTCGGCTCGTTTACACCCCTAGTGTCCGATTGTCCATGCAGCATAGCTTCAAGGTAACCGTAAAATGCCAATATATTAATAATTTAAACTAAAATTTATTAAATGTATTATTTTCTTCCCCTACTAAATTTTTAGATATGGATGAGTTTTTGTTACCTCGTGGTTTATTAATTATCTATGTTATTGTTCGGTTAAAAATAAAATTATTTATGTTAGTTATGTCTTTATATATATACTTTGATATATATATGGACCATAATTTAAATATCAAATATATTAAAAAGTTAAAAAGAAAAAGAAAAGAACTTTTAATATTTATATTAAAACCCTTTTAATTTTTTATATTCTGATTTTTATTCGAAAAGGCGACTTTTGAGAAGCCCTCACCGGATTCGTTGCAAGTAACACTAACCGGAGCTTTAAGGACAAAAGTGGACCACGAAGGCTTAAACATAATGGTGGCTCTATACGAGAGCGGCTTAGTGACGAGCTGCGCCGCCGGAGCAAACAAAGACCGTGTTTTGGCCAATGAATATGTTGTCCGCCGCCTCGAGAAGATGAGCTCCGTCAAAGATATCTCCGCCAAGAAAACCATCTCCGGCACCGTCAACTTTTCACTGTGGGAGGGTTTCAATTCCGCCAAATGTGGAGTTGCCGTCTTTCTCGAAAGTTCTTCTCATCAGATATTCGGTTCGCAGAGCTTACAGTTGCCCGATAAACTTTAAGTTTAAATTGCATGGCGCACCGGATGACGATGATTTGATCGATCGGAACTTAGGTTTATTGAAAATTAATTCTTTATTTTTTATTTTTTACTATTTTCTTGTATTCTTTTAATTTCAAAATTCTTTTATTTCTTTTTTTCCTCTGTTATTTGGTTTAATTTGAAGTTGTGTAGTTTTGTATAGTGATCTTTCTTTCATAGGACCATGACGTTGTAATTTTGTGTGTTCTTACCTTTTCTACATACATGTTTCTTGAACTTTTTCACCATATCTTACATATTTTTATAGGGCAAATTACAGCCACTTCTGAGGTATAGTCAAATTACGAAAAACCCCACTTATTTGGGTAATATAATTATAGCCACTACCCTCCTTTTAAATATTTTTACATAAAATTTATGTAATTCGGTTATTTATCAAATCAAATCGTATATTCAGTTCGGTAAACGGTATGAAATATTGGCGTACCGAAATTTCAATTTAGTTTTACTAATTTAACATTCCTTAATTTATCTTTGGATGGGTATTTTCGTAAGATAGTACATAATAGAGCGGTGAATGTAATTACCCAAACAAAAAGGGAGTTTTCGTAATTTGACCTTAATCATAAGATGGCCGTAATATGCCCTAATTTTATATTGACCATAATACATGAGGTGGCCGAAATTTGCCCTAATTTTTTAAGAACCATAGTCCGAGAGGCCGAGGGCGGTTCTTGAAGCCCGAGGCAGAAGCAAAAAACGAGGCACTTGTTTATGCTATTTTGAATTGCAAAATTATCAATTAAATTTAGGGTTAATTAAGTGCATTTTGCCCAACATATCTGAACATACTAAATTGTTGCATACTAAAGTGTTGCACTGTAATAATAAGTCATTTTTTTGACTCCCAAACGAAAAAGAAGTTGCACGGCGTAACTGAACTTACTAAATTGTTGCACCGAGTCCTTTTTTTGCCAACCGGATTGATGCACGTGACATTCCTACGCGTTTGAGGAGGGGCAAAATCGTCAATTCACCTCACTTTTCACTGTCTCTCTCTTCATTCTCTAATTATTTGACTCTCTCTCTCCTTATTTTTATTTATTTAATTTACTTCAAAGAATCAATTTCTAGCCATAGAAAAAGATTCATCATATATATATATATATATGCATGTTTAATTTTTTCATATGTATGTAAATATAAAGAAAAATATGAAAATACAAGAAAACAACTAATTAAACCATACAAGAAAACGAAATACTATGGTTTATAATTATGATGATCAGAATCTAACAGTAGTGGGGCCCCAACAGCTCAAATCCATAACTTTCTTCAAACCCATTTCCCTTTCCTCCATCCTATTATTATTACCGGCAGCCGCCGAATAAGAAGAAGAAGATTTAACGTTATTATTATTTTGTGTGCGAGTGTGAAAAGAGGTGGCGGCTGATTGGAGGGTAGTTTTGGCATTTTGTTGTAATATTCTGAAAGCATAGTTCCATCTGCAAACACCCAACTGATCTTTCAGCGCCTCCACCGCTCCAATGCTCGCCGCCACTATCCACCTTGCTCCGCCACCACTCATCGTCGTTTTTTCAAGAAACTTCTATTTTTTTCAGCAAATTTATTGCGTGTTTTAGTGTGTGTGAATTTTGATGGGTTTTCTCGATTTGTTGATGTGTAAGAAAATCTTGATTTTGGTGTTTACATATATATATATGTAGAGATGGAGAGAGAGAGAGAGAGAGATTGCTGCGGAATTAAATATAAAAAAACCACCCATGCACGTGGGATTTTGGTATGGAAAACCACGAGCGGTTTTCAGCTAGTCTTGGAAACCGCCGTGGGTTTATATATTATAGAAATTAAAACCAGCTGGTTGATTTAATTAGTCGTTTTCTGTGATTAAAAAAGAAAAGAAAACCCATAGTTTTTGGATGTAATAAGAAGCATTTCTTTACTAGTCTCTAGTTTTCAGGAAACCGCCGGTTTTCTGAATAAAACCGGATGCTTTGGTTTAGTGGTTTTCATTTTCATTCTTTGATACCGGGACAAATGGTGATGTAAAGTGTAAACCACGTGGGAAAGGTGATGCAAGGAAAAATATTACTTTAATTGACAATAAAAAATTGGGTAAATTACAAAAAATTCCCCTTAGTTTAGGTTAAACTACAAAAACACCCTCATCTATCTGTAATTACCAAAACCCCCCCTACGTTTGTTTCTGTTTACACCAACCCCTTTACGGTGTGATTTTTCACGGAATATTCCCCTAAAAATGTATACCCCTAAAAATCAATGTCTTAAATATAGGTGGTTTTGGCCTGTAAACCTTACTAAACCTGATTTTATTCAACATCACGTTGCAGTGTGTCACAGGGGTTTCTTTGATCAAGAAATTTTCGCCCGTGCGGCCTGATTTGCGCACCAAATCAGTCAGCCTTCCTCTCAATTCTCTTCGAACAAAACGCACAAACACAAGTCTTTTAAGCCAACATAAATGAACACAAGAGTATGCAACGGAAAACAACACACAAGCATGTTTACGGGCAATGCCCAACCTTTATATTAATTTCTCACAAAGAATACAAAGGAGACTAAGGTGCACACACAAAATCCTCACTCAGAATGCCCACAATTGCAATCTGAACTCTCTAATGCTAGATGGGTCGGATTTGTGCACTCATAGTCATATAAATACAAGGAAGAATGTAGTTTTCACATAAAACTACCTAATGACACTTGGCAGCATACTTGTTTGACACTTCGCTAACTATTACAAGTAATAAGGGGCAGTTTTTCATGTTTTTCAGGCCTCAACCGCTCCGCAACTTCCCTCAAAACCGCCCACATATACATGGCTGGTTTTCGAGGCCCATCTTGATCGGGTGCGCGCGCGCACCAAACGGCCCAAAACAGCCCGGGCGGTTGCTAGGCAGCCCATCTGTCTTGCCTTTCCCGCACGTATCGCTTGCCTTGCCAATCACTTGCTAGTTCTTTGACCACACGGTCATTGGCGCACTCGCTCATCGAGTTGCCTTTCTTGACTTGCCAATCGGTCGTGCCAACTTGCCCACACTTGTCAAGTCGTGGTCGATTTCCTTCGAACGTTCGTTTGTCCAAGTTCTCGGCCACATGCCGATTACTGTCCACGCTTGTCCGCATTCGCTGTCGAGCAACGCCCGTGCCAGCCACAAGTACTTTCGATCACCGTTCCCACTTGAATCAAGCCGTTCCTTGCTTTCTCGGACAAACACCCCAAATGCTTGCCCAACACTCGACCACTCATTGGTCGATTATGTGGCTGTATGACTCGGCCACACTCGAGTCATAGCCGATGTCACCGACTAAGAGGGTAACACAGTGTCACTACATTTCCTTGATTGCTTATATGAACCAAAGGATTGATGACGTGATCATGAGGATGATGGGCGACGACTTATGTCGGGTGAGTGTTTATAAGCCCTTCGTAGGGACTAGGGTGAAAATTGTATTGTCATATATATTTTTAATTAATTCCATTGATTTTGATTCGAATATTTTTTTCATTTTGGAGCAATATTGTTCACTCCCGATCAATAATTCACCTTCTACTAACATGACTTTCAGCTAAACACAAATTATGATAATATTTTCCTTTTAAACCTTTTACACGCATGGATGTAGCTCAATTGGTGAGTACACGCTTAATTGGGCTATATATAGATAGATATAGATATAGATATAAATTCCTTTAAATAGTACTATATATAAAAATTAAACGACACATTTGATGGAGATTATTAATTGGGAGCCCAACAGCTCAAATACATAACTTTCCTAAGAGATTCCTCCGATTCCTTCAACCTTAATTCTTGTCCGTTCGTCGCCATTGCAGAAGAAGAAGAAGACGACAACGACGACATTTTCTTGGCCTGATGAGTTTTATTGCAAGACCCGAACATGAGATTATTCCTCGTACGTTGTTGAACAACTTTCATGGCGTAATCGAATCTGCAAAACCCTTGATCTTTTAGTGCTTCTACTGCACCAATACTTGCTGCTACTAACCATGCACTTCTCCCTCTCAAATAACTACCCATATTCTTCTTCTTTTTTTTTTTTTTCTTTCCAAGTTCAAATTATTGAATATTATTCTGTGTTTTTGTATTTTTTTTTTTGAAAGATTTGATGAGTTTGTGATGATATGTTCTACTGAGAGTTGTAGTATATATAGTGGAAGAAAGTGGTTTCGGTTTCGGTTTGGTTTAAGTTTCACCACCATAATGGGAGAGCCCATAGTTTCTTTTTTCTTTTTTCTTTTCTTTTTTTTTTAGTGGTTGGTTGTATTATTAAATTGGTACGTGCCACTAAATTTGGACATGGGAATTGGGATATACAAATTATTATAAATTAAAGATAAATTGAAAAAGAAAAAAAGAAACACCTCGCGTACGTGCAAATTAATTGAAATACATGGTATTTCGTCGTTTCGTAGAACCTACACCTGCTGAATTGAATTGTACTACACTATTGATTTACACATACAGTTAAACCTCTATAAATTAATACAGTTGGCACCATCAAAATTCTATTAAATTAGTGAAATATTAACTTATGGATAAATTAATAATTATTAATTTATACATTAATTAATAACTTATTAATTTATGAAATTATTTTTATTATTATTTTCAATAATACATTTTTTTTTTAATTTTTTACGTGTATATTATTCATTGTACCATTAGTTTAATGTACTATAGAGCCCGTTTCACAAACGAAAGCTTTTAAAGCAGATATGGTATTGAACAATTTTCTGTTGACTTATGAGAAAAATTATACCAAAAATTCTAACCATGTTAAGAAAAGTGAGGGACGAGGTTGATGGTAATGAGAACTTTAACAAGAAACAAGTGACAATGAAATTATATTTTACTAAGCCTTCATAGATATATAAAGTATGTATTGTACCATGTAATTTAAGAATTATTTTTATGCATTATTAATTTATATATTATATGGGGCTTCTTAAAATTTTCGAAAGTGTATTATCTTATAAATTTAGCGAATTATTAATTTAGCACGTTGTCCCCGAGTCGGGACCGTGAAAATTTATTATTTAAGCGAGGTTATTAATTTATCGGGTATTAATTTATCGAGGTTCTACTGTAATACTACAGTCTACATACCCGTGTGTATGTATGTGTGATTAGTGAGTAGTTATTTATAAGGTAATAACTACCCATGAGGTATGATTAAATTACGAAAAAAAAAATCATATTGTTTGAATAATTATATATACGTCCATCAACTATGAATTTTCTTACATCTCCACCCTTATGGTGACAAATTCAACATAATCATCTAGATTAACACATCCAAGAGTTTGTTTTATATCAATGTCAATCTACATACAATGAGATATGTACAAATAAATACAAATAGAATACGTATAAATAAAACAAATCTATATAAAATATGTATAAAAAATTATTAATAATAATAATAATAATGATAATTGATAATAATAATAATAATAGTAATAAAAATAATAGTGAACTTCCATTCCACACACAAAATTTGCAGTAGTAAAACAGTTTTGTACATCAAGAATTAGTCATTAGTGATTAACTGTACCAAACTATATCCACTTACCTACTTCTAAGTTCTAACCATGTCTAGTTTCAATTGCACAAGAAAACAATTAACAAAATAAATAAATAAATTCCTAGTTAAGATTTTTTTTAGCACAACAAACTTATAAGCCAGCTCAGCTAAGGTGGGCAACGTCGAAATCCTCCGGTAATCGAAAAGTATCGGCTGCACCTAACTTCTTCCTTTCTTCGGAACCTTCTTCTTCAAGAGCATCTTCATTGCTATTATATCCATCGTCGTCATCCTCAGTGCTGCTCGGTGAATAAGGAGCGTTGATACTTCTCGACTGGCAGTGCGTGTTAGCAAGCATGCTGACCTGGCCAAAGTGAGATATTTCGACCACAACAGTTTCGTCGTCCATTGGAAGCGGCTGTTTCCATGGTTCTCCATCGATTCTCATGAATGTGTGGTCGGCACCCCCTTTGTTGAACTCAAAACGAATTCTATTTGCCTACCCAAAAAAAATTAAAATGAATCCAACTTCAAACGCAATACTCCATGTGTTTCCAATTAACTGTCGTTTAAGGCTTCACCGCATATAAATAAGAAGGCGAATAAATATGCAAGAACTTTAGCTAAAAAATATCATAGGACTAAAATACCCTTTTAACTAGTTCTCTCTCCATTTTTACAAAATATTAATAAAAATAACCTAATTTTTTTAGGTACGTTAAAGTGACATATAATATGGGAATTTTTTTTCAAAAAAGCGATATGATTTAAAAATTATCCGATTACCTGTGCTAAACGAGTCCCATGCCCTTTTGGAGCGAATAAGATAAGCCCATGCCATGCATCTCGAAAACCGACAACCTCGATAAATCCATCATCAACATATGGTGGAGTTAAGTCCCTCTGTCGTAAACATGGACCATAAAAGAGCACATTATTGATAATGAGTTGTATCGAAAAGTACAATTGATTGTCTAGTCAAGAAAATACTGACCGAATGAAGCTTCTGTTTACTAGGTTTTCCCCAGGGGTTAAGACCGCCCGAGAAACTAGGCAAGTTCAGGCAAACAATGGACCTGATGCTGCATATACAAACGGCACGCATAGTTGAGAAATACTTGCATGAGAAACATGAGGTAGAACTTAGAAGTGAGATAAAATTCATTCAAGTTTACCTTCGTGGTATGTGAAGATCGATCCATTCACCTGGTTTTTTCATTATTTTCACCTTTGCCAACTGAGCTATATTCCTGTAAATACGTCAAATGTTCAAACAAGAACAAGAAAAGCTCGTAAATATATTTATATAGTACTAAAATGATTAGAAAAACTCGGACCGAGAAAAGGTAATGAATGGTGATTTAACCTTGACGACGGATGCATGAGGGATGCACAAAACCATCCTTGCGTGCAGCTAAGCTTTGCGTAAGTAGTCTAGACAAATGAAAAAAGTGACCAACAATGAGAACAGCACAACAAAAAATGAAATAAAACTTCTGCGTAAGAAGAAATGAACAACGGGCGCACCTGATTAACTAATTGATTTTTAAATTTTTCAGGATGCAGCTTTCTCTCCGAGTGAAATGCATAAGAAACTTGTGCATCCATACCTGCAAAGAATTAAAGCAAACGTAAAACCACGTCATAGTTCCCGGAAAAAAACTTCCGATTGCGTAAATCCAGCTGGAGACGAGTAACAAAAGCACCAAAACACACTAGCAAAAAAAGGCTTGTCGTAATCCAAGCGTAAAGAAAAGACATATCTTACAGATTCAGGGTAAAGTAATTGCGAACGAGAACTTACCCATGCTAAAATAATTCCAAAATCCCCCACGAAATGTGTGGTACCCCTCCTGAAATATGAAGAAGTTATAATCAGTACACTTAAGAGTTCAGATTACTCCGTCAACTTAGAAGTAAGAAGTACCATCACAAAGCGCGCATAACTGATAATTAGTTCAATACCTCGTTCATTTCATCTGATGCGGACACACGATGAAACGCATGCAATGAGTGCGGTAGGTCAAGAGGTGCAATTGGGTCGCATGCACCTTCCTTTGGAGCCCTCATCCGCATGAGAATATGCCAGCTGAATAATGTACGTAAAACTTTAATGTCAGTCCAAAAGGTTTATAAACAGAACCAAGGATTTGAGATTACCGAAACAAACGAATATTTTATATATTAATTTTCATCTTGGACTTAGATTGAAAACTTGGAGATCGAAATTGTACAAACCTATCGATTTTCATCTCTTTTGCGTCCTTTACTTGTTCCAGGAATGCCTTGACAGATTGATGGTTTGTGCCTGGATTTTTTTTACCCTTCAAAAGTAATGCAATAATTTAGTGGTTTTAAAAATATACTATGCAAGAGAATGGTTTAGATTGAAACATAAGCAGAAAATATAATATCGAGTTGTCGCCACAAATTGACAATATAAGGGAAGATTCGGATGAAGTTTCAATAATAGCAAAAAATTCTTACCCAACCAAACGAAAATGGAAGATTGTTCCCTGTTCCTAGCGGCATAGTAGCAATTGGCGGTGGTTGTGCTAATTTAAGATCGGAAACTACTCCAAGTAGCCACCCAGCTGTTCCATCCCCACCAGCCACCTGCAAATAAATTTTGCACAAACGACATTTACGAAAAGCGCGCAAAGTCACCTAATTCGACAAACCGCATAAATTCACCTAAAACCATTGCACCACCACAACATATATACAATAGTACTTCACTTTATAATTCAACTTACTACGATACGCAATTTTCTCTGAATTTCAGCGGACAAATTATCTCCGTTTTTCTTGTGCTTCTCCAAATTGAAATAAAGCTGGTGGAGCACCTTGTCGGGTGTCTTTTCCCCAAGATCAAACACCTGATTTCTATTCAAAAGACTACGGCATGTTACTAAAAGCTCGCCACCTAATTGCCCGCCGCTCTTTGAATTGATGAACACAATCACAGGACATTCTGGAACACTGCATCCTTGTTCCGTTTCTGATTCGGGTAGAAGTACGTAATCCGGAATGTAATAGTCCTTCAAAATTTCTACCGTTTCTGAATTACCGTTCGCAGCAGGTACTTGACTGAAAAGTCATAAGAAAGACAAAACCGTTGCGTAAAATTAAAATCCCTGGAATCATTCCAATTGCTAGTAAAATTATCAGGAATTACATGTTTGATAGCTTTCGATACATCCATGGCCGTTTTAAAAGTGGAGAGCAAAATTGCAAATCGAACAAACAAACTATGTAGCACGGAAATTTCAACTTCTTAAGGTTTCGGCGTTTCGGACAGTTTTCGTGTCGGACACTCGAGTATACTTGCCGGACACCTTATGGGTCATTTTGCAATTTCTAGAAAGATAGAAACATGATTGAATAGCAAATTTTCAAATATTTTTGTTGCTTCCCTAATTATTCACACGATTTAATGATCAATTGCAAATAGATTCCGTACATGCTATAAAACAGGGTAACTGAACAAACAAGCATAAATTTAAATCCCAAACAGAACATTGAATCATACAACATAACAAAATTCTGAAACCCCATAAAAAAAAATTAAAAAAAAAAGGAAGAATATTTTCTTATTGGAACTGAATTTTCAGAATAACTCACTCTTTACTGAACAAATTATGAATTGATTGCTTCATCTCTCTAGCCATCATCTGCGATCCTACCATTAACCTGCTCACCGAAAACCCCATTGAATTTCAGATTCCAGATAAAAATAAATTCAAAGGTACTCAGAAGAAGGCAAAAAAACCGTAAAGACGAAGAAAACTTTTGAAAATAAAATAAAATTACAAATTAAAAAGCAGAAGCGATACTTTACCTAACGGAACAATTTCGATTGGATAATGAAAAAGGGCAAAGAATCAAATCATGAAAACCTAAAAAGCGCGGATATTCAAATTCTTCCGCCCGTGAAAGGTGACTGATTTACTTACACGTGCATACGTACACATGTATGTATGTATGTATGTAATTGATTTAGATAAATGCGAGGAGGCGTAATCAGAAAGGAATTGAAGAAGGAAACGCGTGAGTGGGAAAACAGAAGAAGATGGAGTGGGTGGGGGGATGAAATTTCGGTTCGATGATTCCCAGGTTTGAAATTGAATTGAATGCTCTCTATTCATTCGTAGACGGAAGAAGAAGAAATAAATGATGAATCTCCAGCGCGGATAAGTGGGGCCCACCATTTAATATTCTTTTCTTCTTCTGCGGGACCCATCTCCATTTAAACTTATTATTTTTTATTAATTATTTTTCTAGATATATATTTCGGAAGGGCTGTCTGGATAAGCTTATAAGCTGTCCCACACCATAAAATGTTCGAGAGTTTATAATTTCTTTTCAAGTGTTTGGTAATTTAAATAAAATAAGTTTTTAAACATTTCAAAATAAGTTGTCAAAAAACAAATAAGATTTTTTTTTTTGTTTTTATTTAAGATTTTATAATGAATAAAAATAGCTTAAATTTATTTTTAGAATTGATAAGATATTGATAAGCTGTTAGATTTTATTTTTAGAATTAATTTTTAAATTGTTTGGATAATGACCTTATTTATTATTTTTATTCATTATAAAATCTTAAATAAAAAGGTAGGATAGATGTACTAAGGTGGTGTTTGCAAATGCTTTTTGAAAGTGATTATGCGGTTTTTTTTGCTCATAATCTGTTTTTAGGTGTTTGCAAAATCAACTTTTGCTTTTGCTTCTCTTAAAATAATCTACTTTAAGCTATTTTTTTAAAAGCACTCATAATCCTGCTTTTTCAATTTTAGTTCATTTTCCGAAATATTTGCAAGCACCCCCAACTTTTAGAAATAAGCACTTAAAACTAACTTAAATCACAATCACTAACTTCTGCTTTTAAATAATCATTTGCAAACACTACCTTATTAGAAAATCGCTCTCCAACAACTTATTTTTTTTAAATTAAGATTTTTTTTTTTTAAATCCAAACATTTTGAAAAAATTATAACCTCTTAAACATATTATAATTTTTTTTAACATCTAAGACTTTAGAGGATGTTTTGGTAAGCTTATAAGCTGTTAAAAAGAGCTTAAAAGATTTGTAAAAGTTTATAAGCTCTTTCAAATTGTTTGTTTGATAATTTTTTTTACAGAAAATCTTAAACACTAAAAAGAAGTTGTTGGAAAATCTTATAATGAGTAATAATAGCTTATAAACTCATTATTCAAAATAATTCTAAAAACCAGTTCTTAAAATAACGTATCAGACATAAGAGTTTATCAGTTTAAAATAACCTTAGCGGCCCTTATGATTGATCGATTGCAATGAATTTATGGATAACAAAAAGAGATTGGGTAAATTCCACTTTACCCCCTCGTACTCTGCCTGAGAGTCACTTTACCCCCTCGTACTCTCAATTTTATCGATTTACCCCCTTGTACTTGTACAATTTTCCAATACAACGCTTTCCTTCATTTTTTGTCAATTTTGACTCTCACGCCATTTGGTCAACTCTATAAATTACAAAATTGCCACAGCCTATAACGCGTCATTTCTCCTCCGTCAATATTGTCATTTCTTCTTCTCCCACCACTTCCCCTTCCAAGATATTCCCAAATTGAACCCCTAACTTAGTAAAAATCAAGACCCAAAAATTGATCGATTCCACCCAGTGCAAAGAAAAAAATATATGAATGTGTGAAACTTTCTCTTTTCTAATCTCGAGAGTCAAAATCGAAAATATTCAATATTTAAGTCAATAATTTGACTCTTGACCAAATGGCGTCAGAGTCAAAATCGAAAAAAGTTGACGAAGAGAGTTGTATTGGGAAATTGTACAAGTACAAAGGGGTAAATCGACGAAATTAAGAGTACAAGGAGGTAAGAAGGTAAAGTGGTTCTTGGACAGAGTACAAGGGGGTAAAGTGGAATTTACCCAAAGAAATTTAGCTGCGAGTATGAGTTTAATACGTAAATATATTTGACTAATAAATGACCTCCTTTAGCTAAATTTAATTACTCCTATTTGTTAAGATATTTGTTCCACATCCAAATTACTTGTTCTCATTTTCCCAGTTTTGCCCCGGTTAGGATCCGACCCGAGTCTAGAATCCATACCCGGTCCAATGTATATCAACAACCGGATCCTTCCATATAACCAACTACCCCCAACCAAACGCTAAGGTCCACGCTTTTACGCCGCCTGAATCTCCGATTAACTGACCGGAAATTCTCCGGCGAAGATGCTCAAATTCCCGGAGCCTCGTCAATCGACGACTATATCTTCGAGCTGAGGAGAAAATGCCTCCAAATTTCTCTCGCCGTCGCCGCATCACTCACCGCACCTCATTCCGATGGCCATTTCAAGGTTTCCTCCGATTTTATTTTTTTTTTACAGTTTGTTGCGATTATACGCTGTAGTGTTTATCTTCATCAAAATTTTACACCAAATGAACTGAATGGAGTTGGTTAATAACTTAATTAGCGACTGAATTTACTTATTCTGTTGTTTACTTGACCATTTTTTTTTTCATTACTTTTCTGGATGAACGGTAGCTTTTCCTGAATCAATTGAGCCGATAGAAAGATCTGTTTTGATTTTTGAGAGCAATATGGATATAAAAGTGAAACTGATTTTTTCAATTTTTATTGGAAAAAAGTTGTGCAGAAACTATTTCATGATTAATTAGTTTCATACCCCAATAGTATCAGATTCTGCTTGCTTTAATTCTAAAAATATCAAATTTAAAAATAATTGCTGATTTTGCAGTATTAAGCGAGTTGCACGATCCATTTTCCCGAGTGCGAGGACTTGGTGTTGTGCGATAAATCGCTGTCGAAAATCGTCTCCAATTAAACTCAGGTACTACTCTTCCAGCAGCACTGCTCCTCATGGATGGATTTCCTCTCGTATGTTACATGAAGTTAAGGAGATGTTATGGAAGAGTAGAGGATGTAAAAGCATCCATGTATCATCTACTACAAGTTATATGCTTTCTTATAGCGCCCAAATTGCATGGAGAGGGCTTTTGGAATTATATTCGTATAACGGACCAATTATCCCGCCCATAAGTAGGATAGCACGTGCAGTAAGCCTTGCCTTGTCTCGTTCACACCTAGTGGCACCCGGAATTCTGGCCTTAATTATCAGAGAGATAGCATCGAATGAAAGAGATATGGCACATGCAGAGTACCTTCCGACAAAGGATACTGTGTACATGCATGCACAAGGTGGGCGTGTTTACGTGACTTCGCTAATCTTTTCTCTGTTAGAGGGAGTTGTACTGGTTATACGAGCCATATATTTGGCCGCTTTGTTCTCTCCTTGCGTAATAATGGCTCCTTTTGCTGATTCCCTTGGCGTTGAGTTTAGGAGGTCATGGCTCAAAGTGGTTCGTGTAACATTAGAAAGAGCTGGCCCAGCATTTATCAAATGGGGCCAATGGGCTGGAGCAAGGCCTGATCTTTTCCCGAATGATCTGTGTAATGAGCTCGCTGAGCTTCACAGCAAAGCACCGGCACATAGCTTTGCGTATACGAAAAGCACTGTCGAAAAGGCATTCGGCCGCAAACTGGCTGAAATTTTCGATAACTTTGAAGAGGAGCCTGTGGCATCTGGCAGCGTAGCTCAAGTTCATCAAGCTACGCTGAGATTCAGATATCCTCGAGTGCAGGTTAAGCCGATGCTTGTTGCTGTGAAAGTTAGACATCCTGGTGTTAGTGAAGCAATCCGTAGAGATTTCATGTTGATTAATTTATTTGCGAAGGTCTCGAATTTTTTCCCTGCGCTGAAATGGTTGAGACTGGATGAGAGCATACAGCAATTTTCTGTTTTCATGTTGTCGCAAGTTGATCTTGCGAGGGAGGCAGCTAATTTGAGTCGGTTTACTTATAATTTCCGTCACTGGAAGGATGTATCGTTCCCGAAACCTCTTTATCCTCTGGTACATCCAGCTGTTCTTGTGGAAACTTTTGAGCATGGAGAAAGTATCCTACATTATGTCGACAAGATCAAAGGACAGGAACACATTAATACTGCACTTGCTCATATTGGGACACATGCACTCCTAAAGATGCTCTTGGTATGAATTTTTAGTTTATGTGTTGTTGCTTTGACATTAAAAAAAATGCTCATATTATCGAGAATCCTTAGAATATGCAATTGATGTGTAGTATAGTACCAAAAGACAATGGTCGTTATCGAATTAGTCTATAAGAATCTAGTGTATAGTTTTTTCTACTGAAGTTATTATGATGTTAATTCACGAGTCATCTTTCTACCCTTAGTCGAACTGGAATTCGACACTGTTCATGAAATAGTGTGTACAAACTGGAACTCGTTCCTGAATTTGATTGCAGTTAACTCTTCTAATTTCAGGTAGATAACTTCGTCCATGCAGACATGCATCCGGGGAACATTATTGTAAGAGAATTAGAGAGCAATAGTTCAGGGAAATCTCTGTTTAAATCAAGACCTCACGTCATTTTCCTTGACGTAGGGATGACTGCGGAACTCCCTCGTAAGGACAGAGACAATCTAGTGGAGTTCTTCAAGGCTGTTGCCCTTCGTGACGGCCGTGCTGCTGCTGAGTGCACACTGAGACTATCTAACAAGCAAAACTGCCCGTATCCAGAGGCATTCATCAAGGTGTGTTTTCTGGCATACTGCTTCGTTTTGTTATGGGTGAAGAGAGTCGTGCTGTTCTTTTCTTTATGGATGAGTTCTGATATCTGGACAGGAAGTGGACAATACTTTCAAGTTTTGGGGCTCGGACGAAGGCGGTTTATTTCACCCGGCTGATTGCATGCAACAAATGCTCGAACAAGTCAGGCGCCACAGAGTCAATATTGATGGCAATATTTGCACTGTCATCGTAACTACCATGGTGTTGGAGGTATATTCTAGAATTCCATGTAAATTCATCAAAAATTGAAAATCTGTCTACTGATACCCGATATTCTTGTTCTTCCGATTTCACTAGTTCTCAGGACTCTTAAGAGCAAAAATTTCTGCTATTATGTTCGATTTTATGGACTTAATTGTGATAACTATTTATGAAGCAAGATTTTGACTCCATAAAATCAAGATTTGTTACCCATTTGTGTATCGACCTTCAATCATCTTTTGTACTTTTTAGCTACAGTATGTTCGATTATCAATGCAGTATGTTTGAATTTTCCATACTGGTTATTGAATAGGGATGGCAGCGGAAGCTTGACCCAGAGTACGACGCGATGCAAACGTTGCAAAAATTGCTTTTCAAAGCCGATTGGGTGGATTCTCTCTTCTATACAATCGAAGGAGTCATGGCCCCATAAGGTGCCCCCCTCATATTCTTCAGTTATTATATAAAACAATAAATCTGAAACATTTACTGCTCAGATAGTTACAATGTATTCGAAAATACATTCATGTGAAAATGCACAGGCGAAAAACCCGATGAGTGAGAATTGAAGAAACGTACCTAGAATTTGCTTTTTCGATCTTTCTAATGCTTCGAAGAATTAAAAGCATTATTGAATGCAGCGTTGGTGAAACGACATTTGTAGATGATGAAACCATCGGAAAAGAACGAACGAAGATATCATCAACGCTGCACTCAATGAGGTTTTTTAAGCTCTAACCTCAAATCTTCTCCTCCCACCTTTTTTCCCTACCGGTTTCAGTTCCCGAAAATGTTGGTTTATGATTTGTTAATATAGGGCTATCACAAAGTACACATCAGGTTGTAATAACATTGTACTATTTTTGCTTCTTATAGTTAAAAGTTAAAACACAGCTTCACTGGTTGTACTGAAATTGTGTGTGTAGTACGCACCACTTGACATTTTTTCTGTATATTGTAAATTCAACTCTTGTCACGTGGAAGCAACAAAGTATTGGAGTTGTAAAAATGGGGTGGAGATGGAAAGGCATTTATTTTCGAATTCCTAGATTTCCGATCCGTTTTCTTTGTTTTTTTGAACAATGTTTTTCATTCCAAAAATTCTGATTTGTAATTTATTTATTTTTTTGAGAATTTTTAGAGTCAAATAACTTATGTATGATTGTATTCAAATTTATGCTCAAATATAAATGATGCACCACAGATCAAAATAATTTATTTTCATTGTTTCTGTTTTACTAAACAATGATATTTTATTAGCACTAAACATTTTGTGCAATTGAATATGTTTTAAGTAGATTATTCATGTACAATGATTTATAAATAAGTTTTTTTTTTAAATAATAATAAAAATAAAAACACTCTTTTAACAGCCTTTCATATTCAATTCAAAAGAAAGAGAAAAAGGGTAAACATATTTGATAGTTCCTACAAATCCTCCTGTTTATGTAGAGCCCCATATATCAACTCTTTCCAAAAAAAAGACAGATCACTTTGAAGTGAGAAGAACACGAACAAAAAAACCGAATGTGTGTATGCAACTACAGAAGGATCGAAATACGATAAGAAGTTCTATACACACCTCAAGCCCAGATAGACTTCGAAGGGCCATTCAAGAAAAAAAGGGCGAACAGCCAACAAAAGTTCAAGAAAATTCGCTTGAAGCATGTTTTTCAACCTAGTGTGTACTTGAACAATTTACGCGTCAATTCTCTCGAAGAAGTACAAGTACCCCATGTCGAGTGGTGGATTCTTGGAAACACCAACTTTATCGTCATTGAAAATCACCCACCTACCGTTTTTGTAGATATGTGCAACATAATGCCCACAGTGGGTAGATGTGCCTATGTGGCTCACTAGTCCAATTAGTCGGTATTCTGAAGAGGTAAGAGAAAAAAATCATTAGCACAACTTCTCTATTATCAAGCAGAAGAAGTACTACATTATTACATTATTACCAACCCGAGTTTACAAGCATTCACACTATTAATACAACGAACACCAAATATATCCTCATCTCTCCTTTTCCAAGGAAAAGGAAAGAAGAAAAGCAAGGTAAATTTTAGTCTTTTCACACATTAGCTAAAGAACTCTTCAGATCTTTGGGTGAATGTGCGACTGAGTTTCATTTTTTGTACCTTAATTTCTGAAACATTTAAGGGTCTTATAATTCAAAAGCCCAAGATTTTTTGAAGTAACTTTATACTGTAGAGATGGTCAAAATAATTCTAAACGCGAGGAATTAGCAGTGTCCAGGCAAGTAATTACACAGCACGGGACTAAGAAGTATTAGAAACCAAGTTATGCAGAGCAAGCAATTATAAATTCTGGTAGAGAAAAACAGTAGTAAAAGTGCAAAAGAAATTACGAAGGGTATAAGAAACTAACTTCCTTGTCCATCAGGTAGAGCTGCATCGACAGCATTTCCACTGCTACTAGGTGTAGTATCCATATTTGACACACCAGAAGGAGGATTAAATATCCATTCCGTAGCTTTTTCAATATCACCATCCTGTAAATAGTCAAAAAATCCAACACGTCAGTTAACATGTAAGAATTCTCTTGAAAATGAAAAAAATATTCAATAGTCTGGTTACAAGTATTATACCGATGCCTGAAGAGCCTTCCGAGCAGTATCTTCGTCAAAGCCAAATGATATTAAAGTTTCGAGTTTTGATGGATCAATGAATGAAGCACTCTTCTGTGCTTTTGCAATAGGTTCATCAATGTCTGGGAAAAGTTTTTGTATCAATAATAGTTCAATCCATAAACTTGAAATAGTCTCTTCAACAACAATAGATGTGGAATACCTGGATCATTCATATGGTTAAGTAGCCAATTCATCGCTTCTTCGAGTCCAACATTTGATGTACTGATGGCAGCCTTTTGACAATGAAGATACTGAAATCCCATTGACACAAGTTGGTTAACAATGTCTTCGTTGGCATTTATTCCGACGTCCTCAACAGCTGTACATAAGAGACAGTAAATGGTAATAAGTAATTCACAATTATCAATGCTTGCAGAGTTAAATTTGAATGAGAAAATCAGACAACAGGAACAATATAAAAGTTCAGGAACTCTTTTCTAGTCGCTTAGCGACATAAAAGCATTGGCATGCAGGACACCTCAAAAGGTACTACTCAAGAAACCTTTGCATAATCAAATATGAAATTTCACCATGGGGGTTAAGGTCTTTCCAAAAAAAATTGCAACAGTGATGAACATAATCTTTTCATTCTGAACGAGGTCAATGTTATTTTTTTCATTTCCAAATTGATCAATACATCACTTTAATCAGAGAACACGGACACAATCATGGCTTTTGAAAATATTCCCAAAATGGTCAGTGGCTAGCAAGGAAAACATTAAGACGAGAAGCAAAACTGAAAATGATGCCTTAAACCAACAAATTAATTGATTGAAAAAACAAAAGCAAGATTGATGATAAGTATGACCGATACTACGCAGTACACATCACAAAATCCTTTTTATTTTATTCATTGTAATTGAAATATTACGAATCCAGAGCAATAGACGTTCATAAAACAGAAATAATGAGTTGAAAACTAAACATCTTTTAGAGAATACATACCAGAATCAGGTAACAATTCCTCCCCTCGTTGAAGACCTTTGCTTCGCATGTTACTGATGTCTATGGTATCAGGAACATCAATATAGACATCTACAAATATTAAACCAGAAAACGGAAAAAATAAGTAATCATCAATAAACTTTATTCATGTAAATAATTTGACAAGAATTAGCACAAAGAGATAAGTACATCATACCAAGTTTTTTAGGGACCCAACCCTCCTCCAGGACAAATTTCCTCATGTGCAATACCAGGTAATCAGGAAATGAAGTCAAACCTGCCGTTCTGCGGGTACATTCAGAAAGAAATATGTTAGATTTCGAAATAAATAACAAAATAGAGATAGAAATAGAAGCAGAGCGCAAGAAAAAGTCCACTTCTTTTTCCAGGATGGTGACAAGGGGCGGAGGAGAAAACTCACTTAGTTGCAGTAGTTTTGGCGTCTAATGCAGTACTGTAAAAATCATGCAACTCCTCTGGAGCAGAAAAGCATTCCAAACAATCCATCAATGGTACTCTTGGGCGTACAATTTCATTAGAAGACCTACCACAAAGAATATATTCAGCAAAGTATAGAACAAAATTAAATGCATATGAGAAGATTTCACGATTTCAACTCACAGTTCTTCTCCCTTTGCATCCTTCTCAGCTTTCAATTTCTGGAAATCTTCTAATTCCTCTGTAACAATACAAGAAATATGATGTTAGTTTACAGGCTGGCTATCAAGATTGATATTGGGCTTGCGATGGTGATCTTCGACTTACTTTTGTTTGTAGCTCTGTGCAGTGGAATGCTTAGAGAAAGAATATAGTCGTATCTTTTGTTGTAAGCAACTTTTCCCGAGGGACATTGCAATCTCTCTTCAATGCCAAACTTGAAGCTCCTTGAAGGATCAAATATTGGGTTCCCCGTATTGACTCGCTCGACTTGGTCAATAAGATGCAGGAAGAACTCTAGAGCATCCTATATTATACTTTCTGGTCAAACACTTATTGTACGTGATAAATTGCAATAGTAATAGATGGTACAATTGCAGAAAGTGACAAATCTAAACATACCTGTTGTCTCATAGTCGAAAATTCAGGATGCTTTGCAGCAATTACGGACTTGAACATTTGAGGAGGAACACCTTCTTGTTTCTGTAAGTTGATCAAAAACTCAGGATTAGAGAGCCAAAATACATCTCATATAAGAGCTTAACACTATAAATAATAATAAACTTTACAAATAATCTTACTAACAGGAATAAAGTTGTTGAAGGTGTCCAGATACTTATTTTCTTACTAGTACTACTAAACCAATAATGTTTTGATAATTGATAAGAACCAAAAGTAACAAAACGAACAAATAAAAGTGGACATTAAAATGAAGTGCTTACAGCAGTTAACGTAGTCTGTACTGCATCTTCTGCATCATCTTTCTGGGAGATTGAAAAAAGAAAAAAAGAAAAAAAAAAAAGAGTAATTATAATCTGCAGCAACTGAGAGAGAGGACGAAAAAAAAAGAAGAGCATCAAACAATGAACTAAGCATACCTTCGTAGAGGGAATGGAATATTTACCAGAAAGCAAACCATGAGCTAGCTTGGTTCTGCAAAGAAAAAGGGATAAGTTAACAATAACTGGAGGAGGTGGCAGCAAAGTCAGTGCTGTATCAAAGAAGAATACTGCTCGTTTTACTATGTTTAATATTTATAAATGAGCTCTTCACTTACAGTTGCATGTTTAGGTCCACAGTTGGATCAGCTGGAGCTGTATCAAAAGCCACCTTCAAACTTTGATCCGAATAGTATCTAAAAAGAAAACACATCAAAAGATAAATCCTACCGACCATGTTACAGATAATAGTAGCTAAAATAATGTCAAAACCTAATTACTCCTCAACAGCCATAATGCAGTAACTGACCGTGAACAGAAGCTCCGTGTGGAGAACATGACTTGCATAGTTGCAGCCAAGTAACAACTGCAGAGTGAACAAATTAAGAAATGAGATAGCAGAAATACCACTTAAAGCACATCGATATAAAACAGAGAGTAAGAAACCTGTTGCCAAGATTTACAAGTCCTGTGTAGCCTGGTCCGAAAAGTGGCTCAACTTCCTGTCCGCTCTCTTGAATACGGTTCCAGTCAAAATTGGTGTTTTGATCAAGTTCTCTCTCAGCGGTTGTCATTTCGGTCTAAAATATTACCAAGACAGGGCAACAAAGTATTACAGTGATGAAAATTTTAACCATAGAGAAACCTATGTACTGAAGTAGCATCACAGCTCTTTTAAGGATACCAACATAAAAAAATAATTTCATCTGAGGAGATCCCGTGAAACAAAAAAGTTCACAAAACAGACTCACATGTTGCTTGCACCAAGATGTTAGCTTCTTAGGACACAATTAATTATGATGATGACAAATTTTAACAATACAGAAACTATGATTTACAACTATTTTGAAGAAGTAAAATCAACAAAACAAATAAGTTTATATAGGGACTTCCTATGAAATGAAAAAAAAATCATGAATATAAACCACAAGTTAATGTATAACGTTTCCAGGTTCTTACCTTTTGCAAGGATGAAAAGTCAATACCGAAATGTTGTAGATGCTGTGCTAGAAGTGGATCCACAACACTTTCATCCTCGTCATAAGAGTAAACGTCTGAGCTGCCAAAGTTTGAGCATCATTATTACATACGAAAAAAAGTAATCAAGAAATTAAGTGCTAGTTTTAACTCGAAACTGCTAGTTCAACGTTTTGGCGGTATGTTAAATTACCATATTTCCAACCATGCTAACTTGTAGATTTTACAAACATGACTTTGGCAACTAACAACAGATACAGTCTAATAATACCTAAATCAACCGAACTAATTTGTATGAATAACAACCAGGCTAACAATTGTCAAAAGCATAAAGAAAGCATGGATCTCTGAATATCCTTTTGAATTGATACTGAATCCCAAGATTGACTATTCCATTCCAACTAACCCACCAATACACAGAAATCATAACACGCTAGAAATCTATCATACTAGAGTCTGCATGCCAGTGACTGTATTAAATTCTCAAAAAAGATAAACCAGATTTTATAAGTATGAGAGCAGGTAAAAGAATTACAAATTGCAAGCAGGTAGATAATGGGGAGAATGCAGGCATTACCTGCTGCTTCTAAATCAGCAGTTATTGTTCCTAGCTTTACGGCCAGAGGATATCTTGACACATTGTAATGGTTAACTGCATGGTCATTCCCACCAGTTCCATCCCAATTTTTTCTACCACATAGGATTGATCCATCTGTTAAATTTAGCCAAAGATTTTCATTCTTATCACACTTCTCACACTTCCAACCAGATGGAGGAACAATGACCCCGTTGTCAAGTTGCTTTAATTCCATAGCATGTTTACTAACGATTTTGGTATCAGCGGTCCAGGCAGCAATTTGCTCTTTCTTCCCTGCACCCACGCTCATAATGACAGCATCAGCTGCTAATCTGACCTGCAAGTGCAACAAAAGTTAAGTTATACATTCAAGAAACAAAAAAATGATCATGTGTATATAACTGCCATTCACCTATCTAGATATGCATACAATTTACGGATGTAATACAAAAAATTAGGGAGGTAACCTTTTCTGGCAGCTCCACTGATGGAAAAGGAAGGGTGGCATAATCTGGTAAAATTACGATCTCATAGCTCTGTTCGTAATCTGGATCATTGTTATCAAACCCTCCTTCAATACCTACAAAAAATATGCAATTCGCAGAATAATTTAGAATAAATTAAGGTTGGGTACAGCACTGTCAAAAATAAGGTTGCAGTATAAGTAAGCATTTGACATTTAACAAATATCAGGAGAGGCAACGGCAGCAATAAGAGGTGTCCCAAATCATTCACCTAGCAAGCTAAAAAGATATATCGCCAATTATTTAAATAAAATCAATGCCTTGTGGTTAAGACATGAAGTTAGTCAGCACCTGAATCAACTTCTATTTTATCGAAGCACACATCAAATGGAATTACACTCTTCTATCAATTATCACTATTAGACAAATCGTCAACTCATCTAAAAAAAACTCCAATATTCAATATTACCAAACAAATGGCAGCCACGGAGCAAGAATTTTCTAACGAATCATGTACCATTTTCTTGTTACTTTATATCAAAATAATAAAGCCATAATGAAACAAATGTTGCTGCGCTTAAACCGAAAGCACTCAACTCAAAATCTAATTCACTCCGTACCTATGGCTAGAAGTGTTGGTTTCTTTGATGGCCTATCTTCAGGAACCAGCTTCCTGGTCGCTTTGATGTGCAGATACACAGGGTTTCCAGTTTTCTCATAGTTCCAATCCACAAATTCCTTGCCAAATGCAAGAAACGAATTCATATCCACATACAATCCACCTTCTGATTTCTGCATTAAAAAAAAAAATTTAACTAATTCGCACAAAAAAAACAGAAGTGTGTGCACCTTATACAGTAGTACTAAGAAAAACTAAGAGTGGCAAACAATTAAGAATTCCAGCTTCCTTGCATCCACGTATTAAACAAATTTATTAACCATACAGCATAAAACGTGTTATAACTACCAATTCAACATCATGACCCCCAAACAAACACACACACCCTATGATAAACGCTAATTCGGGAAAAAAAAAACAATGACAGTGCAAAATCAATAACAGGCAACACGAGAAACAATTCCAAAAAACCTAAGCGATGAAATTCGTCACTCCAAATAATAATCCACATACTTCACATACATACATACACAAATTTCTTAATACTACAGCATAAAACGTGGTATAACTACCAATTCAACACCATGGCCCCAAACAATCAATCACACCCTATGATAAACCCTAATTCTGAAAAATGACAACGCTAAATCAATAACAGGCAACACGAGAAACAATTCCAAAACACCTAAGCGATGAAATTCGTCACTCCAAATAATAATCCACATATGTATCACAGCAAAACTAAAGCGAGTAACAATTACAGCAAAGCCAAATACCGGAGTATCGTAAGATATGCAGCATTCATCCTTGTATATGCGATTAGTCGGCTCGGGAATTCGAACACGGGAGAGGTTCGATCGGAGCAGCTCCATCGGGTTTAAATCCTACGAAAAAAAAGTTATACTCGGCTACAATTTTCTCCGCCGGAAAGCAGCTGAAAATTCCTAGAGCGAGAGAGAGTGGCGACGAATTGGTGGAGGCTGGAGTGTACGTATCTGTATGTATAGGTGTGTGTATATTCTTTGCCCTAAGTATCGGCAGAGTGAGGGAGAAGAGAAGAGGAGAAAAGCAATGGAAGCGGTGTTGGCGTGTTTGTGCTGTGTCAAGTCTTCTCACCTTCTTTGGCAACTCTGTTACGATTAATTAACATTTCAGTTTACTAATTAGGGTATTTAAATTTTTTTATTTTTCTTTTATGGATAAATAATAACAGGAAAAAGCAACCCCAAAAAAGAGTAAATTACAGAAAAACCCCTTAACTTAGGTTAAGTAATGATCGAAGAATGCACCTACCTATCCATAATTACCAAAAAAATTCTCGGACTAACCGTTAACCGAGTTTTTCAATAGAAATGTGTACAGTCTAATATAACTTCTGTTAAATAGGTAAGCAATAAAATAAAATATCTTAAAATTGGGTAAAATCAAATCCATGAAATTAAAAAGATTATGTAAAAAGTCATATTGTAAGGGGTTGATGTAAGACAGAAACAAATATTAGGTGTTTTTCTATAATTACCAATAGGTGGAGGTGATTTCATAATTTAACTTAAGTTCATAGGGATTCTCGTAAGTTGTAATTTATCCAAAAAAAAATATTATTGTGATGAGAAAAAATATGATTTATTTTGCACCTGGGCTTCTTTGTATTTGGGCTTCTCTTTTGGCCCAAAAGAGAAGCCCAAATATAAAGAAGTGCAGGTGCAAAATAAATCATATTTTTTGGGCCTTGAATATATGATTGAAAATTTCGAATTCAGACGATTTCGATCCTATTTTTTTTTTTTTTTAATAAGTTCTTTTAATTCTAATTTTTGAAATTCAGATTTCCGATATTATTGGGAACAAAATTGGAATTAGTTTTTCATTAACGGAAAAAACTTAGAAATTTGTCCAAAAGTAATAATGAAATAAAATAAAGATGATGAAATATCATCATTTTTCAAACTTAAAGCCTATAATTATACCCTAAACACAAGCAAATGGCTAAACTTTCTTTTAAACGGCTAATATTTTTTTACGACCGATATGTTGTTTTAAGAGTTGATAAGCTGTTATTATGTCTTACTTTTCGAATTAATTTTTACAGTGTTTGAATATATTCTCATAAACTATTTTACTTATTATAAGATCTTAAATAAGAACATGCGATATAGAGCTATGTAAGACATAAGTACTTTTTAAAAAAATCTTAAAATCTCTCCAACAATTTATTTGTAAAAAAAATTATTAAAAGAGCTTATAAGCTCCTAAACATCTTATAAACTTAAAAAAAGATTAAAAGCTCTTTTTATTATTAGCTTATAAGTGTATCCGAACACTAATGAAAAAATTCAAATCTAGAGAAAATCCGACCGTTCATTATCCGAAAAAGGTAAAAAAAGAAATTCAAATCCTATTCTGACTCAGCATCGGATACGAATTAAATATTCCAAGAGCGGCAAAGCCGGTTAAACACACGCCCCCTTAGTTTTCTCCGACCACCCCCTCCATTATCTCAACATAAAATCTTCATTTGTTTCTCAATCCCACCATTTTTTTTTTCAATTTTTTTTTTTTTTTTTTGCAGAATAAAAATAAATAAATGTAAATTATTCAGGTAAAAACCATTATACGGCGAAGAAATTTGACGGTGATATAGGCATATATATATATATATATATATATATATATATATATACATATATTATATATATTTGTTTTCTTAGGAATTCTCACTTGTCTCTTTTTCATCGCCTTCTTTTGTTCGTCTGATTAAACTTTGAATGGATTTTTTTTAGAATTTTTGTTTGTCTATGGATCCCACGAAGAAGAATAATCGTGGGACGAGCAAAATTTTCACGTGCTTTAATCCTTTGGTCGACGACGACGACGACGGAGATAATGAAATAATGGACAACTGTGGCGGCGGCGGCGGCTTGGCTTCGCCGCCGCCGTCGTCTGAGAGCGGCCGGAGAAGGAAGAAGAAGGTACGGCGGAGTTTCTCCGTCGCCTCCATGAAGGCCGTTTTCTGCAAGCCATCGTCGGTAAATTACGATTTGTCTATGATTTTAATTACTATTTGTTTCATTTTAAGAATTGATATTATTTATTTATTTATGTATCAAAAAATTTCCCCACAAATTTATTTTTATTTGCAATAATTATTATACAATAGAAACTCGATAAATTAATAACATCGTTTAAATAAATTTTTTTTTTTCTGATTCTGACTCGTTAAATTAATGAAATTTGGCTGGTCCTGACTATATTAATTTATTGATGTTTAACTATAATTATTTCAATGATGATCAGCTAAGGAAATCGAAAAGCGAATCTTCGAAGCAAGACCACTTGGACCGACCGAGCAGCAACTTATTATCGAAAAGCAAAAAGCTCGTAAAATCGGTAAAGAAGAGTTTCACATGCAAGCCCTTTTGGGAGCCTCACCAAGAAATATTCCGTATAAATTCGAACCATTCTTCTTCGATATTCTCGTCAAACTCAAGCCGCCACCGCTCCTCCGCCTCATCGATGTCCTCTTCCTCCATCTCTTCCCTCTCTTCCAACTCGGGATCGGAATATTCCGACGGCATCATCAGACGCTCCGTTTCTCTTGATTTCGAACAAATGAGCCCCCCAATTAACAGTACTACTACTACTACTACTACTACCACTACACTGCAGAAACCTACGAGAAGAGACTGCGGACGAAAACGTATTAGTAATTATTGTAACCCTAGTCTTGATCAAATGTGTATTTTTTTGGTTTGGTTGGGTGCATTGGTTTTTTGGGGCAAGGTTTTCGCGATAGTGACTTGTACTTCGACGTGGCTCTTCGTTTATCCCGGTCATCGGTTCCAAAGGGTTGACTCGTCGGTAAATGACGTCAGCAATATCGTTGACTCGGAAGAGTACAAGAAAAGGGTGGTCATGGAAGGGTTGCTGGAGAGGAACCGGTCAATATAGGGAATGAAGAAAGAAAAACAAATGCAAATTTTTATGATTTTAAAAAACATGTCCTTGTATTTATATTTCGACAAAATTGATTGGCTTGATTTTTAAATATTATGTTTAGTATTGGTTCGAGCTGATCTGTTACATATATACTACACTTGGTGAAATAAATATTTTTTTATATATATACATATGGATGCGTTTAAACTTTAAAGTATGTACGACTATATATACATATGAATGGTAGAATATAACCCGGTGAAATTATGCGAATTTTTATTAAAAAAAAAAGAGAGAGAGAGAATCCAACTAATGATTTAATAACATTTTGTCTCTACTATTTGAACATATGGTCTAGTTTATTTTTAAAAAATATTTATTAAAACGTGGACGGCAGGATTCGAACCTGCGCGGGCAAAGCCCACATGATTTCTAGTCATGCCCGATAACCACTCCGGCACGTCCACTTGATGCAACGTTTAATTAGGTGTTTGTAATTGTCGTAATCACTACTCATCTTATTCATATTTATTCTGCTACCCCTTTAATTATTACATTTTGTCATTTTCATGATATATTTTAAAACTAGTAGTTAAGCTACTTAGATAAGTTGTTTAGACAATAAATAATTTAACTGTATGTAACATGAAGTGTAACGTCAATTATATTCTTCCATTTATTCAACTCAACTAATTAAATGGGCTTAGTACATTACACCAGTATCGTCTATGCTACAATCGATAGAATTAAAACAGAGTATATGTATATAACTATAGATGTATTAGTGTTCGTATAGTACATAGATATATTTGTAAATGATATGTGGTCCCTATTTACAACTATCGCAATCAAGTTGAACAATACTTGAATCGAGAACGATCATCAAAAGTTTATTTAACGTCAATTCACTAGCATGACGAAGCAAACTTGGATGAAGAGATATTCATCCGATAATCTATAAAGCTCGGAGTGAACTCGAGCTGATAAAAATTATGATAGTGGAGCTCGATTAAAGTTTATTCAAGCAACACCAATTTATCAAATTAATTTCAATGTGTCTCTTAAAATTTGATAAAAATTCGAACAAATTTTTATAAACATGCATTCAGCTCGATACCGTTTGTTCACGCATCTACTTGTGCCACCCAAAAGTAATTGGATTGAATAAAACTAAATTAATGGATGAAAACGGATTTTTCAATAAAGAAAATTGGAATTTAAAAATGGTTTCTAAGACAATTCTTTGTTCAACTAAATACGTTTTTTTCTTTTGTGCCCATTTTTCTTCTTCTTCTACACTATAAAATTGGGTAAATTAGAATGCCCCCCTAAGTAAGGTCTATTTACGGAAACTCCTTATTTTTCCATAATTACATCCACACTTGCAATTTGTAGATTTCTTACACTACAGTCTACAATCCTTTTACAGGGGACTTGATGTAATTTCTCAAAGCGGAGTTCTTTTTGTAATTAGATTTTATTATAGGGAGGTGGTTGTAATTTATCCCTATAAAATTTTGTTGACTTGTTGACTTGTTGACGTTGACAAATATTAAGTACGAATTAGTTAATTAATTCAACTTTAATTATCCCTCCGTTTTCATCTTCATACTCAGCAGAACTATGATGTAGTAGAAAGCTTCATCTGCTCTGAAAATGGCGGATTTCTTCTTCATCTTCTTCTTCGCCGCAATCTTCTGCGCACTGCTTTCGCCTTTTCAGGCCTGGACTCGTTTTCGAGGAAGAGAAGTTGATATCCATCGAAGAACCGTATGACAGCTCAGTCTCCACAAGATTAGTACTCGAGACATCTGGTCTGATCAAGCGCTACATTATGAATGCAAGAAAGGACAAGTGGAATTCCGTGCACGAACTTCCGCGGGACCCGTGCGACGAATACGGTCAGTGTGGTCCCTACGGAATCTGCAGAGTTGATAAACCGATAAGGTGTGAGTGTTTCAAGGGGTTTGCACCGAAATCCCAGAAAGATTGGGACCATCAAGATTGGTCCGATGGATGCAATAGAATTACGCCGTTGAATTGTAATAATGGAGATGGTTTCCTTGAGTTTAGAAGGGTGAAGTATCCTGATATGTTGAAGTATTGGTTAAATCTTAGCATGGGCCTCGGTGAATGCCGAGATCAGTGCTTAAGAAACTGGAATTGTACGGCTTATGCTAATCCGGTCATAACTTACGGAGGCAGTGGTTGCTTGATGCATGTGGTTTGGGGAGCTCGTTGATATCAGAGAAAACCCTTCCGGAGATATTAGGCAAATCGTGTATGCTCGTTTACCAGCTTCGGAACTAGGTAATTCTTGATATATCTCGAGTTTATAATACAACAACCTATTTTTTGTATATATACATTTATCTATTATAACAAAACTAAGTCCAAGACACAGGAAATGAATAAAGAACCTAAGAGGGTGTTCTGTTCTTGAATATTATATTCGTTTAATTTCTTGTCTAGTATCTAACTATCTATCAGCATCCTTAAAGCTCTAATGGTTAGTTGGTGTGTTTGCTTTTGTAGATTCTATCACCAATTTAGAGGAGGAGGAGAAGAAAAGCCCGGTGAAGCTAATAGTGGTATCGATTGCTTCTGGAGCTCTTGTCTCGGGCTTTATCAATGGAGTTATACATTTGATGACAAGACGAATGAGACGAGGTAATAGAATTGAATTTTGAAAACAGCTTTTGACATAGAGCATGAGGCATTAAGGTTGTTGTTGCACGAACTCCACATTGGTATGATATTGTTCAGATTGGGTCGGGTCCAACTGGTTTTGCTCTTGGGTTTCTCCAAAAGGCATCATACCAATGGAGTTACTATCCCCTCTATATAAACCATAGATCTTTCCCATGTTAAACCGATGTGGGACATTGTTTGCACCTCAACATAATCCCTATAAAATATTGGATTGAAAAATGGGAAGAAAAACAGTCATTCCTCTCACCCAATCAAAATTACCAATCAAAGTCAAAGTTAGATGAGTAGTCCATTTCTTCATGTTTGATTTTTCTTCATAATATATGGTAGCACGCAGTTAAATGGCGGTGGGCAAAATATTATATTTCCACAGAGATAAAATCTGGTTCGAAAATGGCGCCTTTCTTCTTCTTCTTCACTACATTCCTATGTTCTCTTCTTCTTCTTCCCGCCATCTTTCGGAAATTCTGTGTTGGAATTGATACGCTTTTTCCAGATCAAACTATTGTAGTTGGGCAAACTTTGATTTCCCAAACCCTAAATTTCGAGCTCGGATTTTTCTCCCCTGGAAAATCCAGAAATTATTTCTTAGGGATTTGGTATAAAAGCACACCGGAGATCGTAGTCTGGGTTGCGAATCGGAACACCCCTATAACAGAACCACAAGGAGTAGTCTTAACCATAGTTGGTAATCAAACCCTAGTTATACGCAGGGGCGAAATCGTAATTTGGTCGTCGGAGGATTCTTCATCGGTGGCATCAATTCCGGTGTTACAGCTCTTAGACACTGGAAATTTGGTTATTATCGACAAGGCAAGTGGAATTTGGATATGGCAGAGCTTCGATTACCCAACTGACACGTGGCTGCCAGGTATGAAGATGGTGAGTGACGTGGAAGCTGGTTTGGACAAGTACTTGACATCATGGAGAAATTGGGATGATCCTTCGCCTGGAGATTTTGTTTTCAGGATTGAAAACGAGGGATTGTCTGAGATAGTGCTTTACAGAGGTACGAGGAAAGCGTTTCGAACGGGGAAGTGGAACGGGCTTTACTTGGACGGCGTTATACCCTTTCCGAACCAGGTGTTCAAGCCTGAGTTGGGTTTCAAAGACGAGAGGTTGATATCGATACGAGTGCCCTACGAACGCTCAATTAACTTAAGATTAACACTGGAGGCATCTGGTTTGCTCAAGCGCTATACGTTGAATGCTGGAAAGGATAAGTGGAATTCAATGCATATGATTCCACGAGATCTGTGCGATGAATATGGCACGTGCGGTCCTAATGCTATCTGCAAGATTGAGAAACCGAAGATATGCGAGTGTTTTAAAGGGTTTTCCCCGAAATCGGAAAAAGATTGGGATCACGAAGATTGGTCCGGTGGGTGCATTAGGAGTACGCCGTTGAATTGCACGGGTAATGGAGATGGCTTTCTTGAGGTTAAAAGGGCGAAATATGCGGATATGTTGGATTATTGGTTGAATAGCAGCATGAGCCTCGGTGAATGTCGAGCTCGGTGCTTAAGAAACTGTAATTGCACTGCGTATGCTAATCCGATCATAACTAACGAAACCCATGGATGCTTGATGTGGTTTGGGGAGCTCGTTGATATCAGAGAAAATCCTGCTGCGGATATTAGGCAAATAATCCACATTCGTTTACCAGCTTCAGAAATAGGTACGTATTCAGAACTAGATTGTCGGATTAAAGATTATGAACTGAAATATAACTTACGAGGCTGTACTATTCTTGAATGCGTAATCTGATGTTGGTTTCTGTAGATGCTAGCACCAATTTGAAGGAGAAGGAGAAAAAAGGCACCGCAAAGCTAATACTGATATCAATTGCTGCTGGAGCTCTTGTTTCGGGGTTTATCAATGGAGCTATACTTTTGATGACAAGACGAAAGAGACGAGGTAGTAAAATTGACTTTGGAAACACGCTTTTGGCGTAGAGCACGAGGCATTAATTTTTTTATTTTGTTTTTCTTTTTACCCTCACAGCTGCCAAAAAGAACGATGGTAATGATTTGGAATTGCCTATATTCAAGTTGGCAACTATTTTGGCTGCAACAAACAACTTCGCCAAAGAAAACGTAATCGGAAAAGGAGGGTTTGGTCCTGTCTACAAGGTAATGTATTACGTAAGAGTAGCCATTGTTTTGATGTCCCGATTCTTATTTTAATATGCATGAACAGGGCAATTTGTCGGCATCAGAAGAAGTAGCCGTTAAAAGATTGTCAAGATCTTCAAGTCAGGGTATTGAAGAGTTAAAAAACGAAGTATTTTTGATTGCCAAGCTTCAACATAGAAATCTCGTCAGGCTTTTGGGATGTTGCATTGAAGGAGAGGAGAGAATACTAATCTACGAATACCTGCAGAATAAAAGTCTCGACTATTTTATTTTCGGTACATCTCTATATATCCTTAATTAATCTCCCATTCAACAAAATGCGAAGGAGAATGAAGTATTTAGCATATTCAATCACGCGCAGATGAGAATCAAAGGATGCTTTTGTCATGGCCTAAGCGCTTCGACATTATCATGGGGATCGCAAGGGGACTCATGTATCTGCATCACGACTCCAGATTAAAGATCATCCATCGAGATCTGAAAACGAGCAATATCCTACTAGATGCAAATCTAAATCCAAAAATTGCAGACTTCGGCTTAGCAAGAGCTTTTGGAGAAGACCAATCTATTGCTAGAACAAAACGAGTTGTCGGTACATAGTAAGAGTTTTTTAATATCAACAAAACATTTCATTATTATTTATATTAAACAAAAAAAACCCTTGTGACGGAACTATTTATGCAGTGGCTATATGGCTCCAGAATACGCAATTGATGGGAAATTCTCGGTGAAGTCTGATGTATTCAGCTTGGGAGTTGTATTGTTAGAGATAGTAAGTGGGAAAAAGAACAGAGGTTTCAACAACCATGACAACTGTCATACCCTTTTGGGACACGTAATACTTTTTCCAAGCTACAAATACTAAAAAAAATATTCTATTTTAGAGACAAATTAAATAACTTAATGTGTATTAATCTTAACAGGCGTGGTTGTTGTGGAAAGAAGACAAGTTTCTGGAGTTGATGGATGAAAGTTTAAACGAAACATTCGTCGAATCTGAACTGAAAAGATGCGTACAAGTCGGGCTATTATGCGTTCAGAAATTTGCAGAAGATAGGCCGGTTGTGTCGTCTGTGCTTTTCATGTTGGGAACCGATGGAGCTGTTCTGCCTGAACCGAAAGAGCCTGCGTTTTTTTACGAGAGGAGTTTAAACCCTATTACAAGTGTTTCATCGCCAAGTATGAAATCGGATAATAACACGATGACTATTACCGATTTGGAGGCGAGATAAGGAAGTTTCAGACATGGTACAAAATTTCTCACTTTGTATACACTCTTAACTCAGTATATCTATGTCTAACTAATGTACATTTATATATAATTTTTTTACTAATGATCGTACCGTATATGTATTGACCGTTCTTTCGGAATGTGTTTATTGGCTCGGGTATTTTCCCGTTGATTGAAAGAGCTCGAATTGGTTTTCTCGAATGAGCTCGAATTAGAGCTCGAGTTTATTTATATAATCTGGATTTATAGCTCGATTTTGTTTGTTGAAATATCGAAGTATCTACTACGAGCTCGGTATCCGTTGTCTGTGTTGGGGGTTTTTCACTAATTTCGATTAAAAACTAACTGTTAATCTAAGTATCTCATTAACAATGAAAATTATCGAGAGAAGGAAAATGCAATGACGACGAGATAATGTTAAGGATAAATTACAACCATCTCCCTAAGGTAAAGTATAATTATGAAAAATACCCCTTTTGTTTGGGAAATTGCATCCTACAACCTGAAGTTTATAAATTTCTTACATCCACCCCTATAAAAGGGTGTTAATGTAAGAAATCTACAAATTACAGGGGTGGATGTAGTTATAGAAAGATGAGGGGTGTTTTGGTAATGGAGCAAATTGAAAATAAATTATCAGACAGAAATAGACGAAAAAAAAAAATTCAAAATTATAGAATTATTTGAAGGGGTTATTTTACATCCCCTAGGTACCAAATAAACTAGGGATAAACTCAAACCTAAATCATCATTTGACATTTTTCTGGAGAAGCAAGAGTACTATACTTTCCTTATATGCAATTTTGAGCCAAACTCCATTCAACATTTCTGGTCCTGCATTTATCATTTCGCTGATTTATTTATTATTATTTTCCTTTTTTTAATAAACCTATATATATATATATATATATATATATATATATATAT